TAAGGGGAGAAGCAGCGCGCACGGCTGCAGGAAATCTCACTGAAAAAAGCGAGCTGGAATGAACACAGAAAATGCTGAGGCAGCCACGCAAGAAGTGTCTCGAAGCAGTGACCTGTCGGAGGAGATGCGTCCATCGATATACAATCAGAGCTAACGTTTCCTTCACTCCAGGACGCACAGCGTTTCTAGGATGTAGTTAACCAACCACAATGCTTGTCATTGACTAAGTGACTGTCTCAAAGAAAAACGTGACAAAGTAGCACGAGGTGACACACAGCAGGCACTGCAGATGTTTTAGCGTACTCTCGCTGTTCAGCTCGCGACTAGTCTCTTTGTACGCAGAAGAGATAGTGCATGTCTAGTACTTGTTGCGCTTCCGCAGAACGACGTCCCCACAGGATTTATCAGGAAGAAGTCACGGTATGAGACACGCAGTTGGTTATCATGTGAACATCTTATGATGATTTGTTCACCTCCATTCAGGGTCTTTGCCTGGTCTGGGTCTAGCGCGTCGACCCGAAGCAGACCTGGACGATGTAGGCATCTGCGAAGTTGCGGCTGTTGTTCCTCACCCGGTCTTCCCATCCACTGGACCACTTGACCACTCGCCAAAACTGCCAGGTTTCTCCATGGGCAACCCAGCGTCTGGTTTCTATGGACTGGTTTGGCCATGTTTCATGGATGAGCTCTGGCTGGTCGTCATGGTATGTCCTGCTTCCATAGGACCAACCGAGGCACACCAGTATCTGGTCATCCTGGTTGACGCTGAAGAAGTGGTCGTCAACAATGCCAAGGTTCCCTGGCATAATGGCTGGGCAAAGAGGCAGACCTACGAGCTAGTGGGCTGCAAAGTGGTAAATAGCGCATGCATAGCCATAAGAAGGCTCTGTTTGCCTTGTAAAGATTCATGTGGGATATGAATATTGCAAAAGCTTGTGGGGTGCGTGAAACTTCTTGCAAGTATATGCGTCATTGCTGTTGAGTAGATATTTTGGTAGTTGGCCCAAGTTGTATGGAGACTTCTGCAATGTCACTGTGAGCACCGAAAGGTCAGCCACGGAAAATGCACAGTCTGTTGGCGCAGGTGCTCTGAGGGTGACATGTGCTTCGCTCTAGATGTAGTTGAGAACCACTATGCTGCTCATTGTCTAATCGCCTCTCCTAGAGAAAAACGCGACAAAGTAGCACGAGGTGACACACAGCAGGCACTGCGTATGTTTTAGTGCACTCTGGCCGTTCAGCTCGCGACTAGCCCTTGTATATGGAAGAGACTCCCCGACATTATGTCTAGTACTTGTTGTGCTTCCGCAAAACGACGTCCACGCAGGAGTTGTGAGGAAGAATTCATGGTATGAGACATGCAGTTGGTTACCATGTGAACATCTAGATGACACCCTGCGTCGGGGAGACTCTCACTGCATTGTCCTCTCCGGAGACACGGCGGCGACCATCTGGGCCAACTGGGCGGCGTCGAGGGTGCCATCTGTTGACACGGCCGCCAGTGGGATGCGGAGCGGTGGGTCCACTTGAACAAACCTGCCAGTCTGGTCGTGGTAGCCGCTGAGTTCGATGCAAGCCGGGCGGTGTGGTATTCGCAGCGCGGGCCGCTTCCCATGACCGCCCAAGACGCTGGCATGGTTGGGTATCTTAACAAAGGTTGGAAGTCTAATATCTAGATATCTTTTCCTTACCCGAATAGAGCTACAAATCACAAAACCGTCCTCCACGTTCGGCTGCGCTGCTTCCTGTAGGGGAATTGACATGGATACCAGAAGCAGCCACCTACTTCAACTAAAACCGATTGTACGTAAAGTTGAACACCGGTTCCTGTATGGGAATTTGCATGGATACCTAGAGCAACCACCCATTCCCGAACATAACCCCTCCTGCGAAGAGCAGCTGTCCAGTACGGAGTCTAGCCGATACCTACTTCAACACAAACACCTTGTGTGCAAAGTTCAACTATACACTACGCCCATCCCCTGACTCCATCCCTCCTCCGATGCGAAGCTGTCCACTATGGATTCGAGCAGATGCTCCTTCCGCATTCGCGCACAGCCTGCGCAAGTCGGCGCAGCTCTTCGCCTCCAGCTCGGCGCGCAACCACGCCGCGCCTCCCTCGCCATGTCCATCTTGCAGGCGCTGCGCCTCTGGCTCCTGCTAACCCGCTTCAGGTCTGGGAATTTATGGATACCAGAAGCAGACACCTATTGGAACCAAAGAAAACAGATTCGCAACAAAGTTGAACTATACACTACGCCCATCCCCTGACACAGGTGAGATGTCCCTAACAAAAGATGTACATCGTATATCTACATGTCCTTTTCTTCCCCGAACTATAAAACCGTCCATACCACCTCCAGTCCGTCCTCCGCGTTTCGCAGAACGGCGTCCTGCAGAGTAGCCATGGTCAGCGCGCCTATTGACGAGAAACTTATGGGGTGTGTTGAAACTTCTTGCAAGTACATTCTTCATTGCTCTTGCCTTGCTGTATGTTCCCGGCTACGATCTGTGCTAGCTGGCCCTAGTTCTGTGGAGACTTGCGCAATCTCACTTTGAGTACCACAGGTCTGCTTGAGCCGCCGTGTACAAGGTCGACGGAAGCAACCGTGTCGATGCATCGCGCCACAGTCTCGATACTCCAAGCTCAAGGATCTGGCGAGGGTTTCTTTAGTTTGGCAAGAGAAGTGAGGAGAAAAATAAAACAAACTACTTTATAGTGCTTGCTCTTTGTCCCAGCTGGGCGTGTTGCAAATGACATGCAGGTTTTGGGTGTTGGACAGGTTCATTTGAGTCAAGAGAGATTGCTTTTGTGGAAGTGCAATCCTTTATTTGAGTTCAGCTTTCCCATCAATGGCTAGCATCAAACAACACAAAACTATGTGTCGAACCGTTGGACATGGTCTTGCTATTTGGGCAAGCTTACAAAAATCATGATGATTGCTTTGGATTGCGTGGAATTCTGCTCGCTGCACGTATGAGAGCACATGAACATCCAAATCAGTGATAAAAAAATTTTATGTAGACGATTGAGTTTGTTGCAACAAATGAACGAGACAGCGAAAACCACTTGCACCACAATTGCTAGCCACATGCAGACCAAAGACCTACTCCAAGAAAACACTGAAGTAGGTTGTTATTTTGTTTCCTTAACGATGGCATGAAGTACGCGCAGCAGAAGAGAGGAGGCTCGGTATTCTTTCAGGTCCATTTCAATGTCAACGACAATTGCTTGCAGCAATTGAACCATTCTTGACCGAACAATATACCATTCATTTTTTTGCATCCAGTCACTGGTTTGTGTCCGCCTTTTCTCAGGCAGAACTGCGATCTTTGCAGGTGCATGTTGCAACTGTACTCACTTTGGTGTTGATGTTTGTAACGGTTTAGATGCCTACTTCGAGGGTTCCTCCACTTGATAATTTCCTTCACAGATCCTTCAGGTACCTGTGCCGATGAACCTGTGCCGACGGTTTGCTTCGATCTCTCTGACAGTGTCCGGCCATCTCAGAGCCAGTTTGTGCGGCTGCCCGGCTCGTGTGGCTTGCGCTTGTTCAGGGTTGGGACTTGTTGTTGTCATCATTGTGTTGTATTCTTTCATCAGCACGTGAGGAGCAAAGACATTGGTCTGAATTGTATTGCAGTGGGTTGGTCGAGGACACGCAATGTTGATCACAGTCCGGCTTTAGTGAAGTCCTTCATCCGTCAACGAATACAAACACTTACAGTAACTTGCAGTTTTCATATTGCCGTGGTGCACGTGGACCATGCGCCAAACAATCAGCTCCTGCAATGTGATTTGGAGCTATTTTGCTTGAGAATTAGGCATTCAATTTTGCAAAAACAGCCATCCATCCCAATACAGGTCAGTCACCTGGGGTGAATTTGGGTGGAAAGCATGAAAACCATGAGTTCCCCGCATGGGCTATGTTTGATCTCCCAGGTGTTCACCAGGGTACGAGAGTATTGATTCAATGCGAAGCATTCACTGTCTGGCATGTACTTCCCTATGCAGGAGGGAATGCTTGGTACTCATTGAAGAGTGAAAATTGGTCAGTATCACAACAGAGATGGTAATGAGCTCGAAGGATATCAAAGACTGGAAAGCGATGGAAGCGAACCTGATTGCTCAGATCATCGGACATGAAAAACAGTCCGTTCTTGTTTCTACTAGCTTCTTGTTACTACTAGTAAGGCACCTGTTACTACTAGCG